ATTATTAATGCAATACCAAATAAAAATTAATAATTTGTTTAATAAAATCAAAAATAAAATAAAAAAGAAAAAACTTTTTTAGTAACAGTATAACAGAAATAGAACAACAAAAATTAATTTAAACGCACAATAAAATTAAAAATAATAAATTTTTTCTGTTTTCTAGAATAAAAATAATAATTATGAAAATTTTATTTAATTTAATAAAAATAAATAATATAAGCTTTTTAATGAACTGATTAATAAGTAATTAATAAATAAATTAAATAATAATTACAAAAATAAATGTTTTAGCAAACCCTATAATCAAACATGTAATTAAAAAACAAACAATTTTTTTAAAATCATTAAAATTAATTGAGAAGAATTAACGTTATACTTTTAGAACAAAAATAAAAATTAGAGCAACCATAGGGCATTGACTAATTATTAAAAACAATAAAAAATCAATTACTTTATCTAACTTAATAATTATTTTGTAAAATATTAATAATATTCTTTAATAATTATATATATTATACTTACATTTATTATGTATGTATGTATATTCATCAGAACTATTTATACTTCAACATATATACATATAAATATAAAATTATAAATAAATATATTAATTATTTAAAATGATAAACTATAACGGTATTCAATTATTATAAATCAAAATAATTATGTCGAATCTTTCGTGATCCTGTAAGCAAGTTGTCAAAGTAATTATTAAATGTACTCATTTTTAACTTATATATAAGTATATAGCTTAATATACAATAATCTAATAATTTAATTATTTGAATAGAAATCATTAATATTAGATTTGAATTGCAATACTTAATGTATTTAATTAGTAAAAGTATACAATCATTTCGTACTTACTTAATTTCCATAAAAAAAAAAACTGTTATACAAATGATATATTTAAATTTCATGTTTAATAATAAAATATTTAGGTACATATTTAATACTTAATATAAAAATACTAATTATATGCAATTATAATAGTAATTAAATTCAATATAAACAAATATAATACAATTTAAATATTTGTAACAAATTTCAAATACTTATCTAATAAAATTTAATTGTTAACAAATTCTCTAAATTGTCTTTAATTTACACGCATACCTCGAACTGCAATTTAATTTTATCAAAAATACTTAAAAATATTTTATATTAAAATTTAATTTTTCACTTACTTATATAATCTTATAAATTCATTCGATCTGTAATCAATTACTATTAAGTACTTGAGCAATTATGAATGTTAGAAAAGTAATTATACATATAGTATTATAGAACTGCAAATTACTTTAAATTCATACATAGTACACTTGTTGCAAAAATGAAATTTAATATACAATTTTATAAAATTATAAACAAAATTTAAAAAGTACTTACTCGTCTTTAATTACTATTTTAATTGTGGGTATAAATTCGAATACTCATTTGACACTTAAAAGTACTTAATCTAAATAATATCCGGTAGCCGGTAGTTTTTTTTATTTCCTTCTAACTCACATCAGCCCTGATTGTATTAAAAATTATTTACTTATTTAATTTTTACTAATTATTTACTTATTTAATTATTACACTCATCTACTTACTTAATAGGTACACATATTGTACAATATGTACTAATTCTCTCATAATGTACTTAGTTAACAGTATTATAAGTATATTTTGCATCTCTTACTCTTTTATATATGTACATACCCACATATTAAAATTTTATCTACCTACATGCTCATTAAACATTTAATTTAATAAAATATTATGCTTTTTAAGTAATAAGTATAAAGTAATCAGTCTGTAAAAACAAAACAAAAAAAAAATAGTAATCAAATAAAAAAGAATTTCAATAAATAAAACGGATTTTCTATTTTCTCTCTCATTTTCTTATTTTTATTTTATTTATACTTACATTGAGTATACAATTTGTATTACAACTTTAAAATAAAAAAAAAAAAAAATCTGTCATTTAAATTTTCAAGGTGAATTTATTTACGTACGTACATATAAAGAGAACGATTGTACGAATAATTTTTTACAAATATTTATTTAAATTCACCATGTACTCTTTTATATTTTATGTGCATAATATTTATTATTATTTTATATATGTAGCTAGTGTATACATGATGTTATGTAGTTCTCATAACATTATGTACAAATATACATATACAACAAGTATATGTATGCACGTATATAAGAAAGAAAGTAGGAAAAAATAAAAAAAAAAATTTTATTTTGCAAAGAAAAAAATTTTATTTTTTGCATTTTCTGGCTTTTGATTTTTGATTTCACAAATTAATTTTTTCAAAATGTAAGTAAGTACTTGTACTCGTATACTTGTACTTATACTTATATTTTCATGTATAATTTCACATATTTTAACATAAATACCATTAACAACTTACTATTTTAAATATTTCTTTACATTTATTACACATGTTATACATTATCGTATACAAAAAATCAGAAATTTAATCGAAAATAAGTACTGCACTGTGCAGTACTTTAAGTACTTTAGCATATGTAATACAAAACTTCATTATAGAGTTATAATTACAGTAAATAATATTACGTCTATAAATATTTAAAATAAAATTTTAAAATTTTTTCTTTTTTTATGAGTTACGAGAAGCTATTCTTAATTTTTAATATAACGAGTACTAAAGTAATGAGTACATTTTTCATGTGCAATTAATTTATGAATAAAAATTTTGTTTCTTAATTTATTATACTTATTATAATTAAAATTTTTAAGTGTATACCTACTGGTATAGACACTAGTTAAAATTAATATTTTAGTATTTGTCTTTTATTAGTAAGCAAAAGTAATTTTTAAAAATATTCGGTTTATTTAAATCATTTGATTACATTTAAGAATAATATTAAATTTTTGTGTACTCGTACTTTAATAGTTATTAATTCGTAATTCTTATTATATATCTTTACTTAATTTGTAAAAGTGTTACGCAGTTTCTTATTCTTACTCAATATTCTTATTCTTACTCAATTTGTAAAAGTGTTACGCAGTAATTATTAAAATATATATATACGAAATATTCTAAAATATTAAAATATACTAATAAATAAGTAATCAAAATTAATTAAGTACTCTAATGATTTTTTCTGTTCAATTCGATTTCTTTACTTAATTAATTATTACGAGTATAAATTTTTTTTCGTCTAAAGTATAATGTTTTAAATTAAATTAATTCTCAAAATTCTTAATAATTATTAACTAGTATATATTCCATAAGTATTATTATTTAGAAAATTCACATACTTATACTTATATTGAAATTATTTTGTTAATATTATTGTTATAAACTGTTATAATCAAAGTATGTATGTATATATATATATACTAAATATGTTGAACATTTTATTTTTTCATTTAAAATTTTGCTAATCAATTCACTAGAAATATACAATTAAGTATATCGAATATCTGAGTATATATTCATTATTTATAATCATTTGTTATTAATCATTTAATCTAAACGAATATAATTATATTTGATTTAAATTGAATGTTTATACCTAAAACTTTCCGGTATTTTATTTATTTTTTCTTCTTATTCCGCTTAATAAATAAATTAAATTTATATATATTTTTTTTTTCTATTTTATAGTTATATACAAATATTTAATAATATTACGTGATTTTGAACACATCATTAAATATAATTTATATAAATATACTTAGAATTTTGTGTTAGAACATTAAATTTTGAAAAAATATAAAATTTTTTTTTTTTTTATAAATAAGTATTTATAAAATTTTTGAAATTTTATTTTATAAATATTTTTCAAAATATATTTAAAAATAATTATTTAAAAAAATTTTAAAAATTTACCGACGAGAATTCAAAAAACCCATCTTGTACTCTCATGATTTATAATAATATATATATGAACTATATAAATAAATTGGGATTTTTAACTGTTATACAGAACTGTACCTATTAGCTCAAAAAAAAAAGAAATGATTTTCTAATAAGAATTAATTTGAATTTTATGTATAAACCTATCAATAATTATTAATAATTCACCGTTAATTTTTTGGTGAATAAAAAAAAAAAACAAACTGTTATACCGTTATTTATTTATCATTTTAATATAATTATTACAGAATTTTCTCAATTATTTAATTTATTAATTAATTTAAAGAAAATATTTTTGGTTTTTAATTTTTTTTTTTTTCATATTACCATGAAATATTTATAATTTTGTATAATAAATTATAAGTGTAATAATTAAAAATAATTTGTGTGATGTATTATATGGTTTATAAGTATAAAAATACGAATATTATTTAATTTATTTAATTTTTTTTTATATTATTTTTATTTGGTTATTAAATATATTTTAAAAGTTCTTCATTATTAATTTTTAAAATTCATAATTAAATTTTATTTTTAATATTATTTTTCTATTATAGATACTTATACTTTATATTCTTAAATTGATAAAATCCAAAATTTTTATTGGATAATTAAATAAGATATCAAAACAACTTAAATTATAAATTCATTTATAAATTAAATAAAGAATTTAAGAACAAATAGAGAAAAAAAAACTGCAGTGCAATAAAATAAAAAATAATTAAAAAAATTAAAATTATACACAAGAAATTGCAGTGAGAAATTCAATGAAAATTTAAAAACAAAAACATTTTTACATGAAAAGTAAATAAAAAATTAAAAAATATTTAATTAAAATTTGTTTTATTTACTTAAATACTTGATTATAGTAACTCTTTTTATACATATATGTAATTAATTACCTTCTATATATGTAAACTTAATTTTCATAAATAAATTAATTAAATTTTTATTTTAATTAATGATTCTCATTTCCTAGTATCATCCTTCTTTCTGCAATTTTCCAAATCAATTGAACATTATTTTTAATGAATTGGAAAAATTTTATTTTTAGAAAACAAAAATAATTTTACATGTGTTAAAACAAGAAACCTATAATTTAAAATAAATCCTAAAAAAAAAAATTTTTTTTTAAATTTAAAAAAAAAAAAAAGAAAAAATATTTCTTACAAAAAACTATTTAATATTTTGTGTGTGCGTGTGTGTTTAATTAAAATAAACATTTTTTCGTTTTAAGTAAAAAAATATTTTTTCAAAAACAAAAAAAAAATTTCTTAAATGATTGCATAAACTAAAAAATTATAACATTTATTTTATGTTCATCACTGCCTAAGCGTAAATTAATATACTAAAGCGAGACAAAAAAAAATAATTAATTTAATTTTTTCCTATACAAATAAAATTTTTAAAACAATTTTAATTTTAATAAAAAAAAAAATTAAGAGTGATTTTAATTTTAAATATTAATAATATTAAAAAAAAACTATTTGCAAAATTAAATATTAAAAATTTATAAAAAAAAAAAATTTTAATTAACTTTTAAATTATATAAAAATATATTAAAAAAAAAAAACAAAAAATTAAAAATAATGGACCCTTTAATAAATTTATTTTTATTAAAAATTTATTTAAATAATTTTATTAAATTTTTATACATAAAATATGAGATTTATATTTAAAAATAATCAAGAAAAATTAATATAAAATTAAATATAATAAAAATAAACAATTTAATTAATAAATATTAAATATTAAATTTTTTATAAATATAGAAAAAAAGAAAAACAAGAGAGAAAGAAATAAGAAATTACAATTGAATTGAAAATTTTAATTTTTTTTTTCTTCATAATTTTTAAATGACTAAAATAATTTTATAATGAAATTTAGTACTTATACTTAACAAAATAAAATTAATAATTTTATAATAACTATAATTATAAATTATATATAAACAATTTAATTTTACATTCAATAAAAAATAAAATAAAAAATTTAACAAAAAAATTTGAGTGTGTTTTTATTTTTAATAAAAAATTTTATACAATAAAATTGCAATTTAACAAACAAAAAAATTTTAATTTTTATTAAAATAATAATTAATAACGACAAACAACGGTAAATTTAATTAAAAAAAAAATTAATTTTTAAAATTAACATTAAAAATTCGTAATACTTGTACATAATTTGTATAACAACTTATTAAATTTGAAAAAAAAAAAAATAAATAAATAAAAACATTTTATTATTAAAATTATACGAAAAAATTATTATTAACATTAAATATATATATATATATATATATATATACGAAGAGCAGTAAAATATTAAAATAATTTTTTTTTTTTACTTTCTCTACATAATATATAAGTTATTAAACTCTCTCTCTCTCTCTCTCTTTACGCAGCTCTAAATATTTTTTTGAAATATTATAATTTTTATATTTAAAAAAAAAAAAATAAATAAATAAACAATTAAATTACCAAAAAAAAAAAAACGAAAAAAAAAAAAAATTATTAATTTATAAAATATGGTACCACAACATACTCAAGATACATCTGTAACACCACCATCACCAACTATAGCTAATGGTGGACTTAATACAAATATAATATTAAATAATACAAATAACGGTAATAATAATAATAATAATAATACATTTAATATGGGTCCTCAACATCAACAACAAATTGAACAGCATCAAATGCAATTACAACATCAACAAAATTTACAACATCAACAAGAATCGCAACAACAGCAACAATTACAACAACAACAACAACAACAACGTTTAATACCAAATAATTTATCTGGTGTTATATTTGGATCACAACTTGTGGATATTAATTCCAGTACACCATATTCTGATGCAACACAGGTAAGTGAAAGATTAAATTTTTTTTTTATGTATTTGAACTCTAATTTTTAAGATGAAAGGAAAAAATGAAATTTTAAATTTGCAATTTTATGGTTTATGGGGGCTTTCCGTTATAGCCCCGCGTTAGGTTAATCTCTCCCTATACTGTATATTGAAAACGATTTCGTCCCTCCATTTCTGTGACTATTTATTGAATTAAAAATTTCTAAATAATTTCATTAAGTAACCAACTACCTTGAGTACTTTTTTTTTCGTTACTTTTATTTTCGTTTAAAAATTTCTTGTGTGTCATATTTAAAAAAAAAAAAAAATACTTAACAAAAATTATAATAAATTCTTTTGAAATTCGATTCGATTGCTTATCATTTTGTTTTTTTTTTTTTTGTTTTTTTCTATGAAACAAGAAAAAATAAAAAAACAAAAAATATTTTATAATTGATTAGGTATACTTAGGGTTAATTTAACTATAAAAAGTTCGAAAAACATTTTTTTTTGTTATTTTTCGATTATCGGTTATTGCCATCGCTAAGAATCGATTGTATGTACAAACCTTACTACATATACCTACTCTATACATGTTTGTACGTACAATTAAACTGATTTTGAATTAAAATTAAAAAAAAAAGAAGAAAAACATGAAAAATAGACAGGAATGAATTTTTTTTTTTTCGGTTTAAATTATTAAACGCGTACTCATCCGTATGTGACAGCAACGTGTTTTTCAAAAAAAAAAAAAATATTTTTGCTGGTTTGTTTTTTTTTTTTTAATAAATTTTTCATTTTAAATTAATTATTGTAATTTTTTTTTTTTTGCTAAACTTTAGAAATAGTGTGAAATTTCATTTTATTTTTTTATTTAGGTTTGCACTATTTTATATATTTTTTTTAATTTTATGAGGTTAATAACTAGAACGAAGTAAAAGTTTAGTCATTGACTCATTCTATATTTTAATGTGTGTACTTTGACGTTCTATATAAAATAGTATTTGTTAGTTGAATGCCATCTATAGGTATTTTTATGTATTAAATTGTATGATATTTAAATATAATATACTTCAATATACTTTCAAGTACTATAGAAGATTTTATTCACATTAATTCTATATTTGTATAAGTACTTAAATTTTATTATTGAAAATTTGATAACTAAGTCAAGAAAAAAAAAAAATTATTAATCAAAACCGGAAAACAAATTGGTATTTTATTTAAAAAAAAAAAAATTAATTATCGAAAGAATATGAATGAGTTTTGAAGCGTGAGTTTGAGTTGATAATTAAGAATTAAAAAAATATATTATAAGTAATTACTTGCTTAGTTACTTACTTATTTGTAGCTATCTTCTATAAATTTAATTTGATTTTCAAAAAAAAAAAAATTTATAGAAATATTAAGTATTTTGTAAATAGTAATTCATCATTATAGTAACTAGTAGATAGTAACTAGTAATTAGTAACTAGTAGTTAGTACCTATTGCAAGTAGTAATTAGTAACTAGTACCTAATAATTAGAATATGATAACCAGGAAATACAGACTTGTATTGTAAGCAATTAGTACATTGTAACTTAAAAACTTAATTGGTAATCAGTGACTGTTAACTGATAATCGGTGTCTGTTAACTAGTAATCGATAACTGATAACTGTTATTTGATAACTATAGAAAAATGCATAATTACTTAAGTATATTATTTTTAAATAATAGTCTTTTTTTCTTGAATTTCATGCTAAACATAATTTCTTTACACAAGAAATTAATTTGAACACAAATTAGTAATTTAGTCATAGGTCAAATAAGTAATCTACCCGTAATAATATTATTTGAATTTATATGTAAAATTAAGTAATTCAGAATACTTTCTTTCTTTATTTAAAATCAACTTGTAATGATTACTTTTACTAAGTACGAGTATATTCCACACGCACAAAAAATTATTAAAATGCTACCATAACAAAAATTTATAAATTTATATAATAAAAAAAAAAAATTAAATAAAAAAATCAAAATGTTTACGTTATTCAAGTGAAATAAAACAGCAAAAATTTACGTTCTTATTTAATAAGTAATTACAAAAAAAAAATAATTATTATGAATGAAGGGGACAAAAGTTCTCAACTCAAATAAGTATTGCAATGAGCTTGTTTGTAAGAAGAAAAAAGAAGAGTAATCAAATTTAAAAAAAAAAAAAAAAATTTAATAAAAAAAAATCATTTAATTACTTAAAATTATTTTTATGAGAATGAAAAATCGTCACAAAATAAAGAAAAATAAAAATTTGAAAATTGGAACGAGTTCCGATTTTTTTTTTCACTCAAAATTTTGATTATCTTTGCTTGTTTTTTTTTTTGGTATGAAATTTTTTTTTTTAATTTTTGTTTCTTTCTCTTTCTTTTTCACTATAATTTTCATAAATGTTGATATTTTTTTTTTTTATGTTTTTAATGTGATTAAGGTTAATTAATTAATATTTTAATTTATTTAATATATTTATATAATTATGAGCATATTATAAATGCAATATAAATGCTCTGTGATTAGGCACTTTAACATTTTGAATAAAAATTTTTCTAATTTACAATGTGTGAAAGAGATCGGTATCTATTTATGCTATTAAACTACTACTGAAAACGTACTATTTCTAAGTAGAGCTCGTAAATAATAAAGAATTTGATGCAGATAAATTAATCAAATGCTTAAGCAGCAATAATTAAAATTGAATGAGTACAAGTCTGTCGTTTTTAGTAATTAAAACCAAAATTCTAAATTAATTGAAATTATGTATACAAAATTAATTTTCTGTATATAAGTAAAAATTTTGAACAACGGATTCAATTACTCGTATATCATTATTCTGTTCAGTTTTAGAAATATCATAGTCTTACGTCTATGTGCATACAATGAATACGAATTAGATTTTTAGAATGAATACGAATTAGTGCCATTGAATTTGTCATCGTTCTTAAATGAAAAATGCAAATGCGAAGCCAAAGTCTATACAAAATCAAAATTCAACTTAATTTTAGAGCTCCTGCTTTTATTTGAAATTGTTTAGTTAATTATAATTATTTCCTAAAATGTCATTATAAAAATTGCAAAATGATTTGATTTATTATATATAACATTATAAGAGTTTAGTAATTTAATTTTCACTAGAATTTTTAAAAATTACTTAACACAACTTCTCTATTATTATTATTTTTTTTTCAATGGAAATTAGATTATTTGACATGAAAATTTTTCGATTCAATAAGCTTTAAATTCAAATTATTTTAAATATAATTTTTTTTTATTTAATTTTAACTTGTATAATTTTCCTTGTTTTATTTTTTGTATTTGTATATTTGCATGTATTTTGCACACACAATATTGTTATACTGGAAAAAAACAGACTGTTTTTCATTATTAAGAGCTTATTTGAAAAAGAAAATTTTCTAATAAATTAATTAAATCCATATTTAGTGTATATATATATATATATATATATATATATATAATAAAAATATAAGTTAATTATAAACATTGGTATAATAGAAAAAATTATTTGTAAATTTATAATTTTCACATTAAGTGAATTAAATATAGCGTGTAAGTAAAGTATAAATGCGTAAAATGAGTAATAAAAATTATCAGGTATATTATAAGTACGTATTATGAGTGAAAATTTTAAATTTCATTCGAAAGGGTTTAAAAAATAAAAAAAAAATTTTTAAGTGAAAATTGTGAGTAAAAAAATTTTTGAATTCTCTGAGAATTATTGCGTATTTATTCTACAATTCTACTACTTATATACTTATTTATAAATGGGATTCTAACAAGCACCCGTAACTAGTAAGTAGTAACTAATAGCTAGTAACTAGTAATTAGTAACTATAGTACCAAATAACTGGAATATGATAACCAGGAACTACAAACTTGTTCTTCTTAATGAATTAGTAGCTAGTGTAAAAAGTACTTAAAGGTAAGGGTAATAGGTGACTGTTAACTGGTAAACGATAACTGCAGTAACTGTTAATTGAATAATTGCGTATTTATTCTACAATTCTACATCATACGAGTATACTTACTTATAATCGGATTCTAATATGGCACTCATACAAATTTATTTAAATTGAGAATAACATAACGAGATTATATACGAGAGAATAAAAATTTTTTGTTTTTTTTTTGTGTTAAATTAGTTTACTTTAATTATTTAATTTCCTATATTTTTTTTATATTATAATAAAATGAAATTAGTTCAATGCGTGCAGATAAAATAAAATAACTAAGTACTTATATACGAGTAGAAAAAAAAATATTAAGTACATAATATAGTTATTTAATCAAAAATATTAAAATAATAAAAAAATAAACTAAACTAATACAATGATAACCTTCAACAATTACTTAAGTATATTTACATTATATACATATATATATATATATATATATATGTATGTAAGAATAAGTACTTATTATTTACTATTCTTTTTACTATCAATATTTTTGATTTTTCTATTTATTTATGATTTTTATATAATTGTATGCCTATTTACTTATTTTAAATACGCGATAAATCATTTATATTTAAATTTATAATTTTGATAATATTTATTTTATGTGTATATAAGTAAATATATAAAACTATATACCTACGTGTACGTTTGTAGTCTACTCTTATAATAATTATTATTTATTTTTCTGTGAAATTTTTTTAATTAATTTTTATGTGATGTAGTTTGTTTCTCATAATTAAGTATATATGCACTTAAAAATAGGTGATTCTCCTCTCTCATACTTACTATTTTTACTTCTCCTCCTCACCGTTAATATTGTGTTCACTCAATTTGTTGTTATTATACTTACATACAACAACACATCACAAAATCTCATTTATGATAGTAAAGGTCATACTTACCTAAATTCATACAAGTTTTGTGTCGTATACTTATTTTATTATAGTAGGACAAGGTACTGAATTTACTCTTTGTATTTTAATAAAATAAGTGCTTATTGAGAAATTGA